GGGCATGGGACTGGGCTCTTGGACTCTGTGAGAGGGAGGAGCTGCAAGGAAACAGGCCAGTCTCAGAGGTTCTCTGCACAACAGACCTCCATCTGGCTGGGACGATCTGCTTAGGAACCTTAAGTGCCGCTCCCAACCTAGATGGTAGAGGAAATGGTTGGTGAACTGCTCATGCTGTCAACACAGAAGGCTTTCTCCACCAAGAACGGGGGTTGTCCCTTTAACAGGACAGCAGGAGCTCACCATGTCCACGACATTTGCCATAACCAGAATGAAAATGGCTAACATGGCCCAGGTGTTCCTGGCCCAGCGGGTCCGATCAATCCAAGTTGAGAAGGCCACAAGCTTCGTAGGAAAGGCCTAGAAAGAAGGAAATTTCAAGGGCCATCACCTTTGACAGCCCTTTCTTCTGCAGACAATGGCTGCCAATGACTCTGGTCGCTCCCATACTCCAGTTCCAGGAACCTAAAAAGCAGTGCTTTGCCTGTGAGTCAGCTGAAAACTGACAAAATGGGGCAGAGCTAAGAAGAGGTCATGTGAGTCTGGTGCACTGTATCGTCCTACTCAAGGTGTCTGTGCAATACCATGGCTTCCAGATCACAGCCCTTTCCAGAGCAGATGCAGGACGCAGTGACCATTCCAGGAGGCTGTGGGCAGCACCAGCCAACAGTGGCCTTATCCCCCAGAGGTGAGATCACACAGGGAACAATTTTCAGGGCTAGCTGTCTGTGCCCAGCTACCCTTGCCTTTCCTGGGTTAGTATACCTAAATCCTCCAAATTACCTGGCAAGCCACCTGTCAGATTAACTTTCCTAAAGCACTGCTTTTCTCTTGTCATTCTGATCAAAAACTCTGCCTGGCACCCCAGTGCCTACAAGGGAATGTCTTAATCCCTTTAAGGTCCTTCACAATTGAGCCAACCCACCTTCCAGCCTGGCCTCCACCACCTTTCTATCCAGTTTCCTGTTCATCTGGACTCTGCCTTGCCTATGCCTGCTGCAGTGCTGTAGCCCACCAGAGTCCAGCCCAGAGGGGGTGCTCAGCTGACAGTGAATGGATGGATAGATGGAAAAATGCCTGAACCATCCAAACAGAAGATAGTCTGTTTGTTAGGACTTGACAGAAAGCATAATTCCATCAGTATTCAGTCTTAGAGGGAGTGCCACTCACTTCCAGAGGCTTCCAAGCTCAACAGAGAAGTTCCTCTTACCCGGGGAAAGATGGCAGCCAGCGAGCAGATGGTCAGGATCAGGAGCAGGATCTCCCCAACCACAAAGGTCATGTAGTTTGTCATTAGCCTGTAACAGAGAGAAGACAATTGGGGAGGGGCCAGAGGGAGCAGTGAGATTGGGTGAGGGGGCTAGAAAAGTAAAGGAAAGGAGACAGAAGGGAGGGCCTGTAAGCATGGCACCAGCCTGTGCTCAAGAAGTTCCATGTGATGCCACGGAATTGTTACTGCTTCCTGCACAGAATGAGACTAGCAGGCCCTGACCTGAGGGGCTGCCAGTTGAGCACAGAGCCTGGGAATGTGCCACCCTACCCAGCTGTAACTTGACTGGGACATTTCCCAGAGAGAGGAAGACTCATGAATGACTGGGTAGAGCCCAACAGAAACCTGGAGAGGGATTCTTAGCAATGAGCATCTGCCACGTAGCTGTGAAGAAAGACCACAGTATGGAACAGGCAGCTCCCTTACTGCCCAGGGCTGCTAAGAGTTACCCTCTGACAACCACACAGAGCTTTACAGTGGACAAGCTCCTTCCATGTCCATTTTATCTCACTACCTCCAAGAAATCTGCTGTTTCCAAATCCTCTCCCACCCATTCCCATTTGACCTCTCTTGCAGAAACTGCCGTGATGCTAAATCCAGTATCCCATTCCCAGTCACCTCTTACCCTTCCTTGAAACATTTTTCTCACTCTGTTTTCAGGATCTTTCTGTCTCCCCATCTATACACACTACTAGGCCAGCTTAGTCCTTGAACCTCTTCTCTTTCAGTCAACACTCTCCCTTGATGGGCTCATCAAGGCTCATGCTTTCAACACAGTTATGTGTGGCTGACTCCCAAGTTTGTATCGCCAACCCCACCCTCTTCCCAACTCCATGTTTAGCTGCCTCCTTGACAGTGTCTGGCAGGCATCTCAAACGCCTGCTCTTTGCCTCAACAGCTCTCCTCTTCCTATGTTTTTCTCCATCGTGGTTAATGGGCAACTGCATCCCACCATGTGCTCAGGTCACAAACCTTGGAGATGTCCTTGACTTTACTTTTCACACCCCACAACTGATGTGTCAGCAAATCCTGTCAGTCTTATCTCCAAAATATATTTGGAATCCACCAATCAGTCAATAAAATTCAGAATCCAACTGCTCATCTTCATCTTCCCTAACTTTAGCCTGGCCCAAGTAGCCATTGTTGCTTGTCAGGGTCACCACTTCTGCCCCTGCTCACTAAAATCTGGTCTCAACACAGTAAGAGTGATCCTTTTCAAATATATGTCACAACAGGGAAGCCAGTGGCCTTCCACAGTCCGTAGGGCCCTGACCCCAACTCCTATTCCTGCCCCTGCTGCGTCCTCCACTCCTGCTGCCCAGGCCTCCTCACTGTGCCTCCAGGGCAGACCAACTCCCACCTCAGCACTGGTCTGAAACAGGCATCCCCTAGGTAGCAGACAGCTTGCTCTCTACCCCCTGCAAGGCTTTACTGAAGCATCACCCTATCAGTGAGACCTGCTCTGCCCATCCTACATAAAAATGCAAACAAAACAAAACAAAACTCCCCACCAGCATGCCATCTCCCTTCCTTGCTTTACTTTTATCTGTACTTACCACTACCTGCATACATACTTTAATTATGCAGTTGTTTATGCCTGTCTTCCCCTACTACAATATAAATCCCATGAGAGCAGGGATTTTTATATGTTGTGTTCACTGCTATCTCTCTAGACCTCAATCCCCAGGCAAAAAGTACAGAATCAATAAATATTTGTAAAATGAATGAATGATTTCGATCCTTACAATCTTGAGGGTGAGACAGGACAGGTATTATTATCCTCATTTTACAGATGAGTGAACTGATGCTCCAGGAGCCTTCTGTGACCCTCCCACAGTCATATGTCCAGAGCCTAAGATGGTGTGACTGAGTGCAAGGTTCTTTACAGTCCCCCAAATTGTAATCCAAATACGACCCCCCCACACTCCCTCCTTTTTGATGGGAACCCCTGAGCAGGAGGGAGGGAGAAGGCAGGGTGGTGGCCATCCTTCAGATGGGGCTTCAGCAGTTGGGGCAAGGACTCCAGAGTACCCCATCCTGCCCCAGAGGATTTGCTGCTGTGTTAGAGGACATCAGTCTACACCCAGAGCCTAAAATCTATCTTTACTAAGATGAGACAAGAAAGAGAAGCCAGGTTAGCCTTGGTGACTGAAGTTCAGGCAGCATCTCCATCCTTGTCCCAGGAACCAGTCTAGGGCCCATCCAGCCAAGGTCTCTGGCCTCCTGGATGCAGAGGCTGCTTTCCTGGCCCTTGTGAGTGCCCCATTCTGATGCTAGTGCTACTCCAGAACCCAGGGGCAGAGAGAAAGAAGGGGCCAGGGCATCATCTAGCATTCCTGGGCCTGAGGCCAGCTGGGGCTGTTCTGGTGGGGGGTAGGAAGTTGTCAAGGCCTGTGCCCTGACATCAGGCCCCAGCTGAGGTGCCCGCCCCTTCACACCACTGTGGCCTTTCACCCTCTCCTGGCCTGTCAGCTCCCGCCACAGCCACTCCCTCACCAGGGGTCGATGAGTATCTCGACCAGGGCCGTGCAGAGCAGAACGACGCAGGAGCAGCTGAAGGCGGCCCCGCTCTGCTTTTCCTTCTCCACTGAGTAGCGGGTTTCCATCTCGGGGTCCATGAACCGCATGGACAGGAGGAAAGTATTTCTCTTCTTTACCCTGCAGTGGAAACAAGCCCCATGAGCCACAAATGCCACCTCTGCCTCAGCCTACCAGGCCAGGCTGTATTTAAGATGACTGTAGTTTCCTGAACCCCACGTGAGAGCCTGTGAGGAGTGGCAGGCCAGGACGCCTGCAGGGGCCACTTACACCTGGGCGGACTCTCGCTCAAGCAGGGCCTCGTTGAGTAGCTGGTTGAGCTCGTGCTCATCCTCAGAGGCATCCACCACGCGGTCAGCCAGGTCCTGAAGGCGCAGCCTCCGGCGAGGGTTAGGGAATGAGGGGTTGTCGGCCTGTAAGCCAGAGAGGCAGAGGTAGTGGGGCAGGTGGGACAGAGCAATGAGGGGGAGTTGGGAAAGACCAAGGTGGAGGAGGAAGGGCACAAAAGAGATCATACTCAACAAGACTATTCCCTTTAGCTTGAAGAACATTTTCTAGAAACTCTTCCCAATGGTCCCACATGGCTCCATCCTGCTTGGGTCTCGACCTAGAACTACAGTTCTTCCTGGTCTCCCTGGGCCCCTACCAGAGGCTCTGCAGTGATTGCCCACTAGTGGCAGTGCTGTGGGGAGCAGCACACTAGCTCCTGACGAGGAGACCTGCAGTTTGAGATGGGGGGTCACACACAGCCATAGCACTGGCACGTTGGGGGCATGAATGACACCCAACCCGAGGGCTAAGGGAGCTGTTGAAGGAGCTCATGACCATTTTATTCCCAATCACAAAGGAAACGCATCAACTCCAAAGACAGTAATCCAGATTGTGATGACACAGCCGTTAAGTCCAAATAACTGTGACGGCACGTGAGAGTTGTCTGAATAGGCCTAAGAGTGCATCTGAGAGAAGCCAGAACCGAGACACCTTGGCCTTAAGCTCAGGCATGCCACTGGTTGACTGTTTGACCCCAGATAATTCATGCTTCCCCACCCCCATTTCTCTCCTCTGTAAAAATGATGTGGGCGGTTCACCAGGAACTTCTGTCCATGAAGCATATCCTGGAGCAGAGTGACACTGGCTAATGGTTAGGACACAAAAATCACAGGCTGCTAAAACTGTATTTGTGTCCTCCTTGTTAATGAGTTACATCGAATCTGTATTTCCATCTTCTACCAAGAAAATCACGATAAGGAAAAGTTACTGAATGTTGTGGTGCTCAAGAAAAACCCAATTTACTTTAAGCCCTGTCTCCCTTGCAGCAGCTGATCTAAAGGCATCGCAGACAACTCCCTCGCACAGTGAGGCTGGTGGTGCTGCCACCGGCTTACAGCAACCTTGGCGAGGCAGGAATTCCTGCTCCACAGCCTTTACCTTTACCAGTGAATATGCTCAAGAAGCTCTTTAGTAATGGGAAGATTTTGGATTTTCTCCCAAGTCGAACCCTGCCCTCTGGGACAGTAAGGAAGTAAGTTATTTTCTTACTTTTTCTGGGCTTTGGAAATGCCCCATCTGTGCATGGAACTTCTGGGGTTTGGACCTAGACAGAGAGTTGAGCCCCGTCTGAAGTCTCACTTCCAAAGCAGTCTCAGATCCTATAGAATTTTCCATGAATGTCCTCACTGATCTCAAATCTACAGGATTCTGGGCCATCAGAGCTAGACAAGACCCTAGAGGTGAGCACCTCTTTTGACCTTACCCATCCCGTGTAACTGATAAGACAGTGGGGTATGCTGGAAAGGGGGTGACCTGCCCATGGTTACACTGCTACAAAGAAGCAGATCCTAGGTTAGGACCCTCACCCCAAGCATAGGACTCTTGTTGCAGCAATTTGTTCTCTCTCATTCCCAGCCACATCCTGGCCTTCAGTGAGCCCTCCTTGGTCTCAGCCCTGTACCCACCTGAGCATCCTGCTCCTCAGGCTCCTCTGACATGGAACTGCTGGTGTGGGCACTCCCATTGGGCTCCTTGGTCTCAATGAGGGAAGGGGAGCTAGGCTTTGAGGAAGGTGGCACTCCATTTGGCAGGGCCTGCAGTGGAAAGAAGTGGCCATCAGGGATCCCAGACACAGCCAGCTGCCCACCCTAGCCTACAGTTTGTCTATTATCAGTCTGGAATCTTCTCACTAGGGTTTTAGAAGCCTCATTGTCTTCAAAATTTCACAATTCCAGTCCTCCTCTAGAACAGTAAACCCATTTCCCCAATGATTAGTATTTTCCCTTGATAGGATAAGTTAAACACTGCAACAGAGAAACAGTTCATTCATTCATTTGGTAAGTATTTATTTACTGACAGGAACTGTTCTAACTCCTAGGAATATAGACAAAATGTCCTGACCTTGTGGAGCTCACATTCTAATGAGGAAAGACAGACAATAACAAAACAAATAAGCAAAACGTACCGTACACAGGAAAATAGTAAGCTATGCTATGGAAAAAGAGAAAGTAGAGTGGGCACAGGGATTGATGGGGAGAGTAAGAGGGTAGTCGGGGAGGAGGAGTCACTGAAGATAGCATTTCAGTAAACACCTGAAGAAGCAAACCATGGAGCTATCTGAGGAGGATTCCAGGAAGACAGAACAGCTGGTGCAAAGGCCCTGGAAGAGGCTTGTGCCTGGAGTATTTAAGCAACAGCCAGGAGGCCAGTGTTGCTGGAACAGTGAGTGTACAAGGGAATATGGAGGTGAGTGCCAGGCTTTGCAGAGTCTTACTGACCACTCAGCTTTAACTCTGAGTGAGATGGGAGACCAGTGGAGGGTTTCCAGCAGGGAAGAGATGTGATTTCACTAGATATTTTAGTAGGATGATTCTTACTGTGTGGTGAGAAAGAAGATGGAGGGGCACGGGCACATGCAGGTTGGGAGACTACTGCAATGATCCAGGTGTGAGATGATAGTGGCTCGGATGGGGATGGAAGCTGCAAGGGTATAAGAAGTGGTGGGATTACAGATATATCTTGCAGGAAGAGTCAACATGATTTGCTCATTGACTGTAAAGAGAAGAGTCAAGGAGGACTTCAAATTTCCTCGTCTGAGCAATTATAAGAATGGAATTGCCATTATCAGATGGGGAAGACTGAGGAAGAGCAGGTTTTAGAGGAGGAGGATCAGGAGCTTGGCTTTGGTCATGTGAAATCTGAGGTGCCTGTTATACAGACAAATGGAGAACTACAAGTGGCTGTAAGTTGAGGGCAGGGAAGCTGCTGGGGCTAGAGACATAAACTTGGGAGCTGTCAGAGATGGAATTTAAAACAATGAAACTGGATGAGACTGACGACGAGGTTAGAATTGACAGGGAGTTGTCTATCACTTTTTAACACTTTGCTAAGTATTCATTACGGAAATTCTCCTCAAACTCTCCCCCTTATCACTTGATTCCGCTAAACCATGGGGAGAGATTTCTGCAAATGGAATTGTATTTGCTCCTGTGACTTCCAGAGAAATGACTTATTCCTTGTCTTTTCCCATTGTCATTCCCATCTCATTCATGCATTACCTTCCCTACATCATCCTCATTTGTGCTTTATTCCTTCTGACCCAGCGACTGTTGAGCAGGTTTGGTCATCTGTTAACACTGCCTTATACCAGTACATCTTGAGTTGGAGACTTTCTAAACAATCATGAAGCTAATCACATGAGCTTAGACAGTTGTGATAAGGTGTTTACTTATCAATGCACGCTGGGGCTCACAGTTGTTACATAGCCTTGTAGTTAAGACAACTGGTATCATCTACGGTGGCTAAACTTTTAAGTTCCCTTAAAACACAGTGAGAGAGGAGACAACATAGTGGTTGCCTGATAAATATTTGATAAATGGCATATAACAAAGGGTTAACTTCTCTGATAAACAAAGAGCTCCTACAAATCAGAGATGGGAAAAAAGCCATCAAAGGTAAAATATGAATATGCAATTCACAGAAGAAAATCACCTTGCTGACAACCATGTTAAAAGTGCCCAGCCCTACTAATAAACAAACAAATGAGACCACCACAATGAGATATTACGGTTTCATCTTTCAGATCAACAAAGACAAAAGTGAGTCAATCACACAGGGGTGCGGGCCCAGAGAGGGCGTCGGAAGATGGATGAGTTGGCAACATGGGTTGAGCTTTAAACATACATAACCTTTAATCCAGCTCTTCACTTCTAGAAATTTATGTTTTTCAGGCAAGGGCACTATTGTTAAAAGTAAACTTTATAAAAATACTGAAAATCTGGATTGCCTCAAAATATCAGGGAAAAAAGTCTTGAAAGGTGAACACCACCCGTTTTTATTAGAAATGATACTGACATATTTGTCCAATGAAGTATTTAAGAAGAAAAACGAAGTCTAATTTAAATTCATTCAACAACCATTGACTGTGCTCCTGTCCAGTGCAGGCAGCATCTGGGGTGACAGGCCCAGCAATAAACAGCAGGAACCCTGTTCCAACTAGCCCAGAGCTTCTGTGCTAATGTTTTAAGCTCTGTATCCATGAACTCAGTTTTTTTCTGATTTAAAAATAATGAACCAAGCAAAACAGCTTCATAAAAACCGTTCTGCCGAGCAACCATTGTCTGTCTCAGGTCCCTCTCATCTGTGATCCTCTCAGGGGTGTCATGTGCTGAGAGCAGTCCCGGCTCAAATTATGCACCATGCAAGGGTTTCTTAAATAAAATATGTAAACGAAGTAAAGTACAAGATTAGAAACAACAAGAATGAGCGGTGGTGTCACAAAGACATATATTTGCCTGCTGCTCTGTGACTTCACAGTGGTCCCTAATAAAACCAAATTTGTGAGTAAGTTTTTAAAAAAAGAATAGCATTTTCCAATTTATTAAAAATGTCATATGCCAGTAATTGTAAATTTCCTATCACCTCCCAAAGGTAGTTGACTTCTTAAATTATAGTCAACTTTTTTGTCAAACAGCTGCAAAAGGTACATTCTAAATTTGTTCTAATGAGTATATTGAAGTTCTGCATGTAGCACTCTTAAAAATATAAAGGTTAATTTGTGGCCAGTCAAATCTTATTTCACAGGTCTCTACTTTCCATCCTTAAATGTTCTAATTTTCTGAAAGGCAGTTTCCTACTTTTCTGAGTTCTTTAGAGCATTTCCTGTAGCTCAGACTTTCCACTTAACACAAAATACTTTGCACTGTCTGTGCTTTAACATTCAGCACCTAGCGGGGAGAAAACATGTCATGTTCACCTTTGCATTCCTCAGGGCTGAGCTAGTGTGACCTGCACACAGGAGGGACGTGCACTCAGGAGAGACCTAACAGACATCTGGGAGGCAATGTGGCTGGCGGGGCAGAAGTGCAGGCTTTGGTTTCAGATGCCAGCTCTGCTCCCTACTAGTCTGCAGTTTGTGCAAGGTTCTGGGCCACAGTTTCCTCCTCAGCAAAGTGGGCATGAAAATAGCCCCGTTCTCCCAGGGTTGTCTGGGGGATAAAATGGGAGTAAGGGATGCATAGAAGTCCTCAATAAATAGGGATTGCGATTAGATTTGTTGAAGGGATAAATTTTCCGTTTATCTACTGTCTGATTTGCTAGTCATCACATGCATCTGAGGGAGGGGAGCAGGCATCTAGTTATCTTTTAAAACTTTATCAGGAGTCACCTCTTCAGTCATGGCTCCTGTAGCCACACAAGAGCAGGCTTTGCTTTAGCCATAATTAGACAAAGCCTTTGCCATGGGATGGTCCTAATGACATGAAATCCCTGAGAGCCACCAAACTTCTTAATTGCTAATAGACTCATTAGACGGATTCTCATGACTGGAAGAGTGAAGGGTTTTTAAGTGAATAGATTCAAGGAATAAAACAATTTCCAGATTCAGCAGAGGACAGTAAAGGGATCAGTTTCTACAGCAGCCACTGGTGGCTTCTAATTAGATGGACGGTCAGGAAGTTTGTGGTTGTGGACAAACCTGGGGAAGCTGCTGCGTGCTTCAGCTCTGTAGAGACACGGGGAGACCCCAAACAAGGACCAGACCAGAAGGCAGGACCCCATGATGGCTCTATTGTTACTATCGCATTCGTTCTTCACTTCCCACTAAGAACCTCCCCAGCCTTGGTTCTCCTCTACAATGACCAATCCAACTGCACCCCCCACTCTGTGCACTCTCTCCCTGGGCATCCATGTCACTCCTGTGGCTTCAGCCACTTCCTCCAGGCAGGGGACCCATCCCCAAGCCAGCTACTTACATATTTCCAGTGGCCTCCCCTTCTGGATATTGTCTTGGGATATACCACAGTCACCTTAAATTCAAATGGCCACAAATGACACTCACTAGCTCCCCGGAAACCAACCTTCCCTCTGAAAGGATACTACCACTAGTCTCCTGCTAGCAGGACTCAGAGTCACTTTTTATGCCAACCTGCTCCTCGCTTCTCACAGTCAACCATCTTCAAATCCTGCCAACTCTTGTACAGTCTCTCTATTTTTAATCTCTTCCTTTCCAACTCCCAATTCCAGGGGGAGGGTGGGAGACTCACCAAGCCGTTGAGGCCATTTTGGGTGGCTGTTTTCTTCACCTCTGGCTTGGAAGCAATGATGAGGTAGGTTTCGATGCCCTTCTCATCTAGGTAATCGCAGCGGCTGCCCCCATCACCAGGCTCCACGTCAAACTCTCCCTTCAGGCAGTCCATGGTGCTCTGGGAGATGTGCACGCGCCTGCGTTGCAGGGAGGGAGGCACTGGGCATAGGTCAGAGGTGGCCTTCCCACCCCCAGGGACAGTCAGCAGACAGGGCTACATGGGGCAGCAGTCCTGCCACTAACTAGCTATGTGGGCACTGTGGCCCCTACTCCCCTCTGAGCCTCAGTGTTGGATCCATAAAACAGGAATACAGTGTTTTCTCACAGCGGTTGAGAGTGTCAAATGAGATAAGGCATTTAGAAAGTCATAGGTCCGATCACTCCCCACTTGCATGATCCTCAGTTGCAACCCCCACCATCAGGGGTAATAAAACCCATTTCTGAGGTGTCACCACTGAGGGAGAGAATCATAACTGCTTTTGAGGAAAGTTCCCTGACCCAGGCTGGGGAGGCTGGGCTGAACATCCCTCAGCCTGTGCACCCTAGGGCAGATGGACTGGCTGACTGTGAGAGAGGTCAAGTAAGACGTGCCAGTGCGTTGTACACTGGGAAATGCTACCTCTGAGCCCGTTAGCTAATTATTACTACTGACATCTCTGGGGAGATCTGGGCTGTGACAGCAGAGCTGGGGCAGCCCCACAGTGGGTAACAGGGGTGGGGGTGGGAGCAAACTATTGCAAGGTCCAGACAAGAGAAGCTACATCCAACATCAGGCCCAAGGAGGCAGGCATCAAGGGAGGTCTCAGAACGGCCTTAGGCAGGGTCAAGGGCAGAATGGGGAAACGCTGCTCTGGGGTGGAAAGGCACCCTCAAAAGGCCCCTTGTCCCTCATCAGGGCTACAGCCCTGAAGGACTGACAGGATGTCCCTCCCCAGTCCTCACACATGCCCCCTTGGAAGGAGTACTCACCCTGGGATGCCGCCAGCCTCCATCTTGTTGGCTACAGTGACGTCAGTGGACCACACATCGTACTGCCAGCGCTTCTGGCCAAGGACACCACCCAGCACGGTGCCCGTGTGCACTCCCACACGCATGTCCACCCCGGTCTTGGTCTTCTCCCGTACATACCTGCCAGGTGAACACAGAAAGGAGATGTCAGGGCATGGCCCTCAGCAAGGTGGCCAGCCCCTGCACCCTGCAAGAGGAATTCTGCTTGGCCTTCCTTCCAGTCCAGGCCGAGGGGGCCTAGTAAGTGCCCCCACAGCTCTCTGCCTGCATTTCAGCTGTGTAACCTTTGGTTGGGGTTAAAGCAAGCCAGGGCCTGAGCCCAGATTTAGCAATCACAAGCCAGTTGGACTGAAGGTTGGGGGAGGGCAGAGTGACTCTTCTCCCCCTCCTTCTTCCCCAGAGGGATCTCTAGTTTCTCTTTTCCAATCATTCACTTATTCGTTGAGCACCTACTATGTGCCAGGCATGCCCTGGGTGCTGCAGATACAGTGGTGAACAATATAGCTGGGAACAGCTTCTCACTGAGAACTCCAGGAAGAGACAAACACGAAACTCATAAACGTGCCTGATGGGGAGGGGAGAGAAGGCTGAAGTATCTAATCCCAAACAACTGCCCCAGAGTAAAGCAGCATTTGTTTCTTTCCAGGCTGACGCTAGAGGGGTTTGAACATGGAAGATGGTAAAAATGCAAGGCCACCCCTCAGAGCTGGTGGTGAAGAGCACCGACTTCCTGGACTCCATCTGTGGGCAGAAGCCGCAGCAACAGCGTTCCTTTCCACTTCGGTGCTTGGTATCACCCCGGGCCCACCAGAGACCATAAGTCAGCCAGAGATACCCCAGAGGGGCAACAAAGTGGAAGAATGAGGGAGGACAGCTTCCCACCCTCACAGCCCATGGGTGGTAAACTGTGGGTGGGCTTGGCTGGAACACAGAGCCCAGGTTCAAGTCCCAACCCTGCCACCCCCTACATCACGAGACCTCAGCAGTCACTTCATCCTGACGTGGGGATGGCAATCCCTGAACCTTGAAGGGGTCAAGATGAGAAAACACTGAGAAGAGATGGGAGAGCAGCTGGTTGGGGGGTGGTCCCAGCAAATGTGAGGTGGTGTGATGAATTTCTCAACTGCAACTTTCAGCAGAAAAAAATGATGTGGACTAAGGCTATAAAGCATGCTCCAGGGTCTGTGGAAGTCTTGCAACTTCCCTTGGCTGTGAGTAAAGTAAACCACGTCCCAACTTCCCAGAGCCAGCGACAAAGCTGGGGACTAAGCCACCTATCAGCCAATGCTCCATCCAAAGGGCTGCAATCCACGCCACGAACGGATACCCCCATGGGGCCTTGGCTGGGTCTTGCCAGACCAGCGCGGAAGGCCTGCTTCTAAAGGGTGGGGACCACATGCCCTGAGAGCCCCCTCCCCCCAGAGGCCCCCACTTACGAGATGGCCTCCACCATGGCAAGCCCCATGAGGATGGAGCAGACAGCGTGGTCCTCCCGGTAGTCAGGCAGGCCACAGATGCAGTAGTAGCAGTCGCCCAGGATCTTGATCCGCAGCTGGTGGTATTTCTGAAAGGACAGGGCAAGGCTCCTGAGTCCTTTCTTGGCCATGGAGGAGTGGTGAAGAAAGCAGAGGAAGAACAGGCAGGAGAAAATCACGGAACCAAGGAGGGTCAGCACAGACTACCAGGGCGGCCCCCAGCCTGCAAGCCAGGCAGGGGTCGGGGTACTTACGGCCGCCAGCTTGTCGAAGCGGGCAAAGAGCTCATTGAGCAGCTTCACAAGCTCCTGGGCACTGCAGGCAGAAGACAGCTGGGTGAAGCCCACGATGTCCGCAAAGAGGATGCTGTGGGAGGAGGGACCACAGGCACTGAGGCTCCAGATGGGGCACCTGACCCCACATTAGCTCCTGCTCTAGCCTGCAGGCGGCGGCTCGTGGCAGGAGGAAGGCTTTGCTCAACCCCCAGAGCAGTGAGACCGGCACGTCCAGGCAAACCTGGGCTCTGACACTGGAGCTTACCTGTGCAGACTTCTCTGTGGGCCTCCCCCATCGTACTTGGGAACCACCCCCACATGACCACTCCTCCCCCAGGCTGAACCGTGCTTCTTCCTAGAACCAGGGTCAAGGGTCTAGCCCCAGTGCTAGCTTGAACAGCTGGGTGACCTCTCAGGAGTCCCTTCCCTGCCTGGGTGATGTCTGCACAATGATGTCTCCACCACCTCCCCACACCCTCAGGTGGCCTAAGGCACGTTTCAGCTCTAATGTCTGCCAGCATAGCTTGTCCCACAGGGCTGACAAGCTCAGGATAGGAGGGGAGGCTCCCACTGTGGAGATGGCCCTGCTTCTTTTTTTTTCCTTTTTTGTCTTTTTTCATGACCGGTAACGGGATCGCAACCCTCGGTGTCGTGCCCGCACCACGCTCAACCAGTGAGCGGACCGGTCTCTATATGGGATCCGAACCCTCGGCGGGAGCGCCGCCACACTCCCAAGCACCGCACTCTACCGAGTGCGCCACCGGAGATGGCCCTGCTTCTAACCCCCAGGGAAACGCTCAAACCCCACTGTGCACAGCGCACCCCTCCCTGGTGGGGTCTGCTCTTGGCGCACCTGACGTTCTCGTGGCGGTACATGTACATGGTGTTGAACTGCTGCTGGTCCTTCTGGCTCTCATCTTTCTTCATGTCCTTCAACATCTCATCAGCCACGTGCTTGGGCAGGATGGAAAGCATGAGGTTCTCCTGCAAGAAGGAAGGGAGTGTTAGAGGGGAAGGCGGGGCCTGGCCCATACTCTTCCAGGGGTGAGTTCAGGTACTTCTGGGAAGAAATCCCCCAATCCTAGGGAGAGACGTTAGCCAGGAACCACGCCAACCTTTTCTAGGGGCCTACAGACCCACATCGGGAGCAGCCCGAGAGGCCCAGGACAGGCAGCTCTGGCCCTGAGGAGGCTCAGGTTGTGATGGCCCCTTCAGGGCACTGATGGGAGCCAGAAATGCCACATGAGAAATGTGGCAGATCCTGTGTCGACTACTGTATGGTGAGCCCTCAAGGGCAGAAGTAGCACTGAGTCACCTTTGTGTCACCCACCATGCCTTTGCCTAGAAATCACTGGCGAAATTCAGATGCAACCTGACGAAAGACCTACTGCATGCCAGGTGCCATGCTGGATGCCAGTGATGCAAAAACCAGAGAGTTTTTACCTCAGAGCTCTTCAGGTTTCACAGGGACACAGGTAAGCACATCCAGTGCAGTGCAGAGTGATACACACCATGACTGGAGATGGGAGAGCAGAGGACTGTGCCAGAAAGAAGGCAGGGGTCAAAATCTGCCAGGGGTCGTGAGTTGGGGGGAACCAGGAGGCCTTCCTAGAAGTGAGGCTTGGCCAAGTCTTGAAGACGAGCTGCTGAGGGCTTTCTTGCCAGAGGGAGCCACACAAAGGCAAAGACACAAAAGAACTGTACCAGGTTCAGGGCCCCGCAGGTATTTCAGTGGAAACAGAAACACGGCTCGAGAGCCGGCCATGGTTCAGACCAGGGGTCAGCAAACTGCAGCCTGTGGGCCGAATCTGCCTGTTTTCCTAAGTAGAAGTTTTATTGGCACCCAGCCAGGCTCATCTGTTCACATGCCACCTCTGTTTTTGTGCCAACAGCAGAGGTGAGTAGTTGCAACAGAGACCATATGGCCCACAAGGCTGAAAATATTTACTATCTGGCTCTTTTCAGAAAAAGTCTGTGGCTTGGGCATCCGGGTGGATGTGCCAGTCTCTGAAATGAGGAGAAACAGCAGTGAGGGGAAAGATGGGAGTTTGGTCGTGGATATTGAATCTGGGGTGCTGCCACGCGTGGGGGCTGAGCCCATAGCTCTGCAAGCTGAGGCCGGTGTGTGGTGGGGTAAGCCAGGGCTTACATTGCGCAGAAGAGAAACAGGAGAGGAGACAAGGGACAGAAGGAGTCCTGCAGCATGGGAAGTCAGAGGAGGGAGAAAGCCAGCGGGCGCCTCGTCCCGGGGAGAGGAAGGTGATGATGGTGCCCAGTGAGGAAATTGAGGGAGAATGGGGAGGAAATTGAGGGAGAACCTCAAGCTGAGGTTTTGTAGGACGGAAATTGTAAAAGTTCAAGGGGCAATAGAACAGTGGCTGATGGCAAGGACGTGACTAAACAGGCCATGGGCTAGGCAGCAAAGAAGGGGAGGCCGGCCTGGGAGAAGCAGAAGCTGTGGTCAAGGGCTGAGATCCGGATGAAGTTATAGACACGTGCAGTGGGGGAGATGGCCTTGACCCCCGTGATGGAGCAGTTCCCAGTGACCACGCCAGAGCGTTGCCAAGCAGTCAACTGCTGAAAGGAGAGGAGTGAGGCAGACAGGCCTCAGGACGTCAAGGAGCTCTGTGTCCAGAGTGCAGGTCACAGGAGTTATCTGGGTCCGAGGTGGCCTGAAAACTAACTGTTGGTGTCTGGGTCCTCAGAGCCAGGTAGGAGTCAAGTACGGGATGGAAGGCTGGCCTGGAGGAGAGGGGATCTGCCAAACTCAGGGAGCCAAGACCTGGGGCACTGAGGTGCAGCTCCTCTGCAGAGAGAGGAAGAACATGAGTAAACTGCTTCACGGTCTCTCCCCTGCCCTGCAGTGCCTTGGTGGTTATCCTAAGAGCACAGTATGGTAACAAAAGTCAAGGCCCTGACCCTCTCTGGGAAAGGACCAAAGTCTGGAAAGAAAAAGAACAAGCCCTCTAGTAGGCTTTCTGGGTAGAGCAAAAAAAATCACCCAGATCCTTGGGAGAAGCATCCCAGGCCTGCCCAGGGTGGTGTGCAGCCCTAGGATAGGGAGGTCCTAGTCCCTGGGAGAAGAGGCCATGGTGGCCTGGGGCAGGATGCTCAGCCTCCTGACCTTCTGGGCCGGGGCCTCCTCATCTGTAGACAGAGATTTGCTGAGCTGCTCAGGTGAGCTGTGAGCCCCTGGCCAGGGAAGTCTGTCAATATGGCCTCCACTAGGCTCTGAGAAGGAACCAGTCAAGCCCCCTTCTCCTCAGCAGTGACTTATGCCAGGCTTCGCTTTGTGCTGGCTGAGGACTGAGATGGAGGAAGGAGGCCAACACTGTTCCCAGGGGCCCCAAGTTGTTACAGCTGATGTTCTGATGAGGCATTCAGGACTTAATCATAGCCAGGCAGCCAGGAGGGATCTGGGTAAATGAGCTTGCCTGGTGAGAAGTAAAGTTTCTACAACATCCTTGTACGAGAGAGGGAGAGAGACTTGAGAGAAAAACCAACAGTATCCAGGTGGCCGTGTGTGTGTGTGGGCACATGTGTATGTCTCTACAGTGTCTGTGTGAGGTATGTGTGTGAAGTCTGCTTGTCTGTTTGTAGGATGGGTATGTCCATGCATCTGTCCATGTGTGTCCTATATAGGTGCTGTATATTCATATACACAGACACAAATACATGTCACTGCAACCCATCACAGGCTGTGAGCAGACCCACAGCTGTTCCACAAACCTGTCAGTCCTAGTCCCAATTTATCCAGATTTTTGGAGCTTCCAGGCCATTTGGAAGCCAAAGGTCACTGGACCCGACCAGGGTGTCCATCCTGCCCTGACCAGCTAAGCAGAGAAGGCTGTGGGAGGCAGGAAATGAAGAGTAGAAGGACCAGGCCCTCTAGCCCTGGGGGGTCGAAACCCAAATAGCTCACCTCTTCCTGCTGATAGTACAAAGGACTACATTGTGCGAAATCTGGAAACTCCAGTGCTGCTGCCATTTAGACTAGGGGGCCCAGATCCAAAAGACATGGTCACAACCTCAGTCACTGGTCATCTGTGCAAGTCCCTGAGCTAAATGCAGGGACAGCAAAAGGTAAACAGTACTCCAAAGAGCTCCGATGAGCAGAGCAGTCAAGTCAGAAGTGACTGGTCTCCCAAGGCAAGAGTTCTTGTCTTCATAAAGGCTGCAGGAATTCAGTGGGAGGGAGGGGCTGCATTACTAAAAATTCAGCATATCTTGAAAATAAGACCCTCCAGCCTGAGGACAGGCACAAGGCCAAAAGCAGGCTTTGACAGGCTCCATGACAAAAGCAGGGCCACATTTAACTCAGTGTTGGGGGAGTCAGACTAACAAGCCACTGCCAGGCCATGTATGCTTGAAGAGTACAGAAATTACACAGACCCAGGGTCATCCCAGAGCTCTACCTGCCAGAGCAGGAGAGGGTACACTGAGCATATGGTACCTCTGATTACTGGCCTGAACTCCTGTGTAGTCCCCAGAGACAGGGGGCATTGGGCGGGCCAAGGTGACTGCTGTCTCAGGAGACAGCCCAATGGGTCCAAAGATGGCCACGTGTGTGGTACCTACAGCCCTCACCAAGAATATTTGGCACAGAGCAGGGTGACTGCTGTCTCAGGAGACAGCCCAATGGGTCCAAAGATGGCCACGTGTGTGGTACCTAGAGCCCTCACCAAGAATATTTGGCACAGAGCAGATGCTCCTTAGAGGTTTGGTGACTTAATGAGCTGTGTACTAGGAGACATGGTCCAAGGGGCAAACCACCACCCTCTAGAACAGCACTAACAGAACTTTCTGCAATCATGGACGTGTTCTGTATCTGTGCTGTCCAATATGGTAGCCACTAGCCATATGTAGCTATTTAAATTTAATTAAAATTAAAAATTTTAGGGCCAGCCCACGGCTCACTTGGGAGAGTGTGGTGCTGATTACACCAAGGCCACGGGTTCGGATCCCTGTATAGGGATGGCTGGTTAGCTCACTTGGGAGGGCGTGGTGCTGACAACACCAAGTCAAGGGTTAATTAAGATCCCCTTACTGGTCATCTTTAAAAAAAAAAGCGTGGTGATCCCTGTATAGGGATGGCTGGTTAGCTCACTTGGGAGGGCGTGGTGCTGACAACACCAAGTCAAGGGTTAATTAAGATCCCCTTACTGGTCATCTTTAAAAAAAAAAATTAAATTTTAAAGTCACTTCCTCAGTTGCACTAGCCACATTTCATGTGCTCAATTGCCTGGAGCCCTGTATTGGGAAGGATGCTGAGGTCACATCTGTGACTGCTGGGAAAGGGTGCTTGCAATGTCTTACAGGGAAGCATACACCACCTGCTTCTGTCCTTGACCCGGAAGCAGCAGTTCAATACCACCCTGGGCATGAAGGCCTAAGCACACAACACAGACAAAATGTCCACTCGTAAAGGGCTTATGGTGTTTGCCTTTGCTCCCTTTGCTGCGTCCTATTGAAGGAGTGACTCTTGCCAGTGCTCTTTCCAAATGTTGTTCCTACCTTTCTTTACTGTCTCCACCCACAGCTGCCACTCCACTCCAGGCCCTGAGCCTGTTTCTGACTGATCTTCTGACTCCAATCCCTCGCTCATGAGGAGTAAATGAATATTTCTGAAATGAGGACTTTGTCCATCAGGGCATCATTCGTCATCACCCACCACCTCCCCACACCCTCACACCCCACCCCCACTAACCTCACTCCTCATTAACCCCCACCCCCACCTCTGCCCTATCACTCTGATCAAGACTCCTCTCTGCCCACCACACATTTGCCACTTCCCCTCCCTCTTCCTGAAACGCTGCTGAAGAACCCACATCCATCATGTTCTTTAAATCCCTCCAAACATTTCTAAGAGTCTCCTCAGATTAGCCCGCCTTCCCTCGGCCCTTTCATGTTATCTCTGTGTCCTGCACTTTATTTTGCACCACTGACTTCTTTCTTGCTGCATATTTAACAAGTCACATGAT